ACCCCACCAACCACACAGACCACGTGTCCAAGTGGGAGGAGCCACAGGCAGGTGGCCAAGGGCAGACTGGACACAGGAAGCAGACAGCCAGGAAGAGAAAGCAGCCTCCCCCAGCGCTGGCTAGACCCCAGGCTGGACAGGACGTCACATGAAGTTCAGCCCTCAGACCCCCAAGGGGGGTGAGCTGCACCGCGGCCAGTGCACCCCGCCTCACTGTGGGAAACAGAGGCTGCTCTGGCACGTCCACCACAAGGGAGGACAGCGAGGGCCCCTGCACTGGGTCTCCTACCGGACAGGGGACGGGGTGGGTGTTCTGGCAGGCTGCACCTGGGGCGCTGGGGGGGAGCCGCGAGATGCCATCTAACTCGGGTTAGAACTGACCCACAGGGACAGCAGCCGGAGACCCAGCTGCCCCAGGCAGGAAGTGGGGCTCCAGTACACAGCAAGCAGAGCAGGACCCTGGCTACGAGGGCCAAGCGCCCTGCGGGACTGGTGCCGAGGGCCACGGGGTCAGCTTGACCCAGTGACGTTGATGGAGATGACAGTGACGAGGGTGCATGGCCCCAAGCCAGGAGTCGTGCTGCCTAACTCAGGAGACCGCGAGGCAGCTGCTGTCAGCCCAGGCCGCAGGGCAGAGGGGAGGCCCAGGCCTGGCGCTGACCCACAGCAGCTCCGGCCATCTCCTGCTGCAACCGGTGGGCTTGGGGTCAGAATAGAGGGAACAAGGTCCCACAGTCACCAGATCAGTCCAAGCCCTGGGGCCTTTTAAATGGTGATGGCTTCTCTTGGGAAGCGAGAGTCCAGGCCGTGGGTCCTGCACTGCCCTAGGCTCCACCCCCAGGCCCAGGGCTCCCTGGACGTGGTGCCTCAGGACAGGCTCCGTCTCCGCGTCTCCCGCGGTGCCTTTCTGAGCCAGGCAGAGGCCTCTGTGAGGGGAGCAGTGGCCCTGAGCTGCCATCTGAAGCACATGGGCTCACAGGAGGGGACAGGGACGGTGACTGAGCTAACCACACCCGACAGCTGGTCCTCCTGGCCCACAGGGCGAGGACCAGGGGTGCTGAGGTGTGGGTGGGCACTGGCTCCAGCCCTCAGGAGCCCCCAGACTCAGGCCCGAGGTCTAGATTTCCTGGGTGGCTGGGGCGGGTCAGCCCAGAGGCAGCCAGGTCCCTGAGAGGAGCCCGCCAGCCCCTCACCCATCCTCCTCGTTGCCCGGGATTCTAACGTGCCCGTCTCTCTGCTTCGGTCTCTGACGGTGCCAGGCCACAGCCGCCCACCGGCAGGGCTCTGCTGGCCTGTGGCACCCTCCGTGGATTCAGGAGTCCCGGCCCGGCCTGCCCACCCCAGGCCGGGCAGCACCGCTGCAGGGCATGACACCAGGGACCAGACGAAGTGGCCTTCGCAGACCCGCCAGGCCCAACGAGTGCCCTGACGAAGGCCTCGCGCTCAGGCGTAAAGCAGGCGGTTCTCCTGGGTCTGAGGTCAGAGGGCAAAGTGAGCCCCAAAATAGCCTGGGCACAGTGAGCGCAGACGTTCCCCATCAAGAGAGGGGAGCGCTGGGAGGACAGGACACCAGTGGGGCAAACGCAGGAGGCCCGAGCCACGGGAGCGGAGCCTGCGGACACTGCGCCTCCCTAGGCGTCCACGCAAAGCTCCAGGGAAAAGCGGCCACCGTCGGAGGCCAGTCCACGGCCGTAAAACAGAGCTCTCCCCAGGAAGGCCAGGCGGCTGGACACGCCGATGCCACAGCGGTCTCTCTGCCGACCTGGTGGCCGCTGGGTGAGCGACGGGCAGGTGGGGTACTCCGTGTGGACACCCTGGACGAGGCCAAGTCTCCTCTGGTGGGATGGAGTGGGAGGTGCCAGAGCGGCTCGCGCCCCGCGGAATGGTACCAGTTCACAACTGTAAGTCACTGATTTCTGGGGTTTCCATACAATATCCTCAGACCACAGCTGAGGGAGGAAAGGGAGACCACAGCAGGACAGGGCTGTTGTCCTGCAGACACGTGGACAAAGGTCTGAAAACGAGCTACTTCCAAGGAGGCGGACAGCTCGAGTGGCTATTCACACAAACCCGTCACAGTCCTACTTTCACAAGGAAATGTGAGTGCGTCACTTTAATGGGGACTAACAAGGATGCCACCCTCCCGTTCCACATCTTCCAGCATCTTATCTCCTCCAGCCCAGTCACCAGAGAGCCCGGGCAGCGTAGGGCACGGGGAAGTCACCCTCCCGCCTCTGATCCAAATGCACACACCACACAGCGTCTGGTCAGGGACACCAGCTGGCCACAACTCATGGAGGGACCGTCATGGAGCTGCACTCTCCTGACCTCTGCAGCCCACCCCTGCCCCCAGGCACCTGCCCACTCCAGTCTGCTCCTGTGGGAGGAGAGGTCTGGGGAAGCTGCTCCCCTGCCTGACCTCCTCGGCCCTCACCCTGAGCAAGCAGGGTCACTCCCAGGGGACAGCTGACTCAGGCTGCAGGGTTAGTGCCAGAGAGGAGGCACGCCCTGAAGCAGAGGCACTGGGCACGTCCAGGCCTCCCTGCCTGCCCTGTCCTTCTCCCCACCTGCCATGGGGACCCCAGAGAGTGTGTTGGGCAAAGCTGGGTCCTACGAGGTCTTTTTTGTTTTTTAAGACAGGGCCTGGCTAAATTGCTAAGGTTGGTCTCAAACTTGCCATCCTCCTGCCTCAGCCTCCACAGCTACAGGATCTCTGGCCCGCACCACCATACCCAGCCTCCTGCAGGGTCTCTCGAGGTCCCTCCCCAGGCTGTGTGTGCGTCACACTGTGTCATGACAAGCACTTGCCCTGCTGAGTGGTACCCAATGGCACGCAGTCACCACCCCACATGTCCCCTCCATGAGCATCCAGGGGATCACCCCTCATCCACCCTCTGCAGAGCAGGTGACCTGCAGCAGATCCATCTGAGGGCCCCACTCATCAACCATGGGTGACCCCACGAGGACTGGGTCTCCCCACTGACTTTGCTGGAAGGTTCCACCTCACACCCTTTGCTATAAAGTCTGGGGGCCCACGGAGCAAATGGCCCCCAGCCTCCTGGACAGGACTGATGACATGGCTACGTGTGGCCACTGGCTCCCTTCCCTCCCTGTGACCCTGCCCTGTCGTCCCACCTTGCGACGGCCACTGCCTGGGCCCTAGCTGGCTATGGGCCGGTATAGGCCTCAGTATCCCCCTGTGGGACGGCAGTGATGACACCAATCTCAGAATCCAAGTTCCCCGTGTCCCTCCTGGTCTCCAGGACAGTGGGATTCTCCTGCCCTCATTGTGGCCATGTCCACTGAGCCCCAGGGAGGTCCTGGAGTGTCTGCAGAGGACCCAGGGAGGGCACTCCCCTCCCTTGGCCCAACAGCCCTGCCGGCAGCTCCAGTCATTGCCGGCAGTGACAGTGACCGTGTCTGCCCAGGCCAGACACTACACAGCTGCTGCAGGGCAGCTGGGTGGCCCTCATGCCATTCACCTGCGGCTTCTCTCTGGACAGTGGCCTCTGGTCTTCCCTCTTCCCCCAAGCCTAAGCCCATTGGGAAAACTCAGCTCTGGGTCCACAGTTCAGGATGGCGCTTCCTCCTCTGAGTGACCGAGGTCATCGCCGCAGCACTGGGTCACAGCCCAGGAGCTCAGACTCGCTTACCCCTGCTGGGCCTCCAGAGCAGGGCTGGAGAGGACATCAGCAATGACAGCAGGGCCAGCCACACACCAGACCATGTCCAAGCTCAGAGAGGGTGAGCCACTTGCCCTGGCTGCTCAGCAGCCATGGAGGTACTGGACGTGGTCCACTGGGACCGAGACCAGAGGCTGAGAAGCAGGTTCCAACAGCCAGCGAAGGCCGGATGCCTCCCTTCCCTCAGCCACACTCTCCCTGCCAGACCCTTCAACTTGCAGTGCCTGGGAGACCACCCTGGAGGGGAGTGACGGGTGACAAGCTGCACACTGGTGCCCACGTGTGCACGGGCAAAGCCGGCACTGGAGTCAGCCAGGCCCCGCACCCAGGGCCAGGCTGCAGAGCCGCCAGCGGCACTTCTGGAACCAGGCCCATCCACCTGCACGGCACGTGCTGCACCGTGGTGGGGCCGAACCCTCTCTGTGATCCTACCGACGCAGAAGATGGGCCTGGGGTCAGGGCGGCCAGCGGGACTGAGGGTGCACACGTCCAGCCTCAGAGGTACAGAGGCTGGGCAGGAGCTGGGGTGCAGAGGGCTCATCAAAGCTCACGCCAGTCTCTCCCCTCCGTCTGTCCACACGCGGATCAGAGAAGGCAGGTCCTCTCCAGCCCCAGGCTCTCCCTCTCCCAAGGGCTGGACACTGTCCCAGGAAAGCAGGGGCCCTGGGAAGCAAGCGCACTGTCTCTGGCGCCTTCTGAGGCCCAGACGACACCACCCAGGACCCGCCGGGCCCGGTGCACCACCTGCAGTGCCTGAGCTCCCACGGGCTCCCACAGACCAGCTGGGATCAGCCAGGTCCTCACACTGGCCCCGCAGCGCCCAGGAGCAGGCCCGCGTCCTCCCTGGCCCTAGGCTCCTGCTCTCTGACCACGCCTAGAGAAGCCCTGAGTCCAGAGGGCACCCACCCACGGCCACCTCTGGACCTGTTCCTCGGGGCCCTGCAGCCCCGCTCAGCCCAGAATTCACCGTCCCACAGCCAGGGCCAGGAAGCCGCTGGCCCAAAGCACCAAGTCTCGCCTGAGCTCCTCCCGGCTGCTCTGTCCACGGGGCCGTTGCAGAGCCTATGGAGAATCTCGGGGGCCAGTCTGGGCAGCCGCATAGCAACAGGCACCCCACAGCCCCTCTCAGGCAGCCGCCGTCCCCCGACAGTCCACAGTGAACACATTTAGATGCACGGACAGACGAGAGCCCGGGGAGGCTGGGGGCCCAGGCCCTGCCCGCCGCCTGCGTCCCTGCCCCACCCTGCCCACGGGCCCCTAGGACCTCTGAGGTCCCACGTGGCATGAGGACCGGAGCCAGGCACGAGGGCCACCTACCTGGACGCTGCGATCTCGGCCTTCTGCTTGGCGATGGTGGCCGCCCGCTCGGCCGCCTCCACAGCCCGGTCCACCTTCTCGCGGGTCTTGCTGGCGCGCAGCGGGATGAGGTTCTTGCGCTTGCCGCTCACGAGGATGTTCTGCTTGTACTTGCCCTCCTCCTTGGTGCCGTCGGGGAAGGTCATGCAGCCGTAGCCGTGCCGCCGGTTGCTGGCCCACTCGCCCTCGTACCTGAGCCCGTCTGAGCGCTGGCTCACGCCGAAGCCCGCACGCTTGTCGTTCTTCCACTCGCCCACGTAGGTCTCCGTGGTGGTGGCGTCGATGTCGTCCTCGATGACCGCCAGCTCGGCCTCGGCCTCGCCCAGGCTGATGGTGGAGTGGACGTCGCTGGCCGTGGAGCTGACCGTGCTCATGCCCGCCTCGCTGCGGAAGGAGCTCTGCTTGCTGCGCTGGCTGGCCAGGCTGCTCTTGGACTCTGACTTGCGCAGCTTCAGCCCACTGAGCAGTGAGCGCCGGAACAGCCCCTTCTTTTTGCTCTTGAGGGTCTCGGAGTCGCTGTGGGCCACCAGCACGAAGCCACCCCGGGACACGGCCGGGCTGCCGGCCACCGCTGGGGAGGCGTCCGGGTGCAGCGCGGTGCCGTTGGTGTGCTCGCTGCGCAGGGAGTTGATGGACGTCCTCAGGGGCGAGCGGATCACTGCCGCCATGCCATAGGGGACGCTCTGCCGCACACCATAGCCTTGGCGCATGCCGCCGACCCACTGGCCCTGGTACGTCCCTGGGGAGACAGAGAGGGGTCAGTACCCAGGGCAGCGAGCGCCCCGGTTACGGGGACAGGCCAGCAGTCCCTCCACGGGACGGCTCTGCCTGCATTCCCACCTTGGCTCACGTGGAGGCCCACGGAACACAGAGCGCTCACCACCTACCCCCCCAATGGTCACTGTCAGAGACACCTGCCTCTGCTCCCCACAGGAGGGGTCCACTCCCTTGGGACTGGGGCGGGAAAGAGGCATCACTCTGTGGCGCAACCAGGCACAGGACCCAGAGTGAGCCTCAGCCTGCAGCGCACAGGGAGGCCCTGGAGGAGGCCCACAGCCTGGGGTGGCCACAGCACCCTGCCCAGGGCAGCTGCAGGGACTCTGCTGGAGGCCCCCAGGAGATGTCTCAGTGGGGACAGGGCAGAAGGCAATGTGTGTCCTCAGGTGACCTCAGGCATGACAGTCAGCACACCCCACCACCGCGAAGAGGCCAGGGCTGGGGCATCCGTATCCCCACTCTCAGTAGCACTGTCCCCGGAGCCAAGAGGTGGAGGCCCCCGCACATCCAGGGGCGAGGATAAGGGAGTGCCACTCGCCCCTGCCAGGGACCCGCGGCTGTGAGGAGGGAAGCAGCCCATAGCCTGCGCCACGGGAGCCTTAGTGTCATGCAACAGGAAGAGCCAGACACAGAAGGCCAGGGCCAGTGGGCCCAGGGACGGTCCTGGAGGCAAGTGGTCCACAGAGGAAGTCGAGAGGGGCTGCCCAGGCTGGGTGGGAGGGGCTTCTGCCGGTGGGTATGAAGTTTCTCCTGGGGCGATGGAAATCGCTGGGACGATGTGCCCCACGGCGACTGACCTAGTGCCCGAGGCTGCCCGCCCACACAGGCTGGAGGCCTGGGGCCGCGAGCAGCGCTGCCAGCCCGCGGGGGCCAGGAGTCCAAGGCCGCCTGGGAGAAGAGGTCAAGATGGCGAACCCCATGCTGCCCAGCGCACAGTAAGAAGGCCCGGCAGGCCTGGCTCTGTGACTGCAGGCCAGTTTCAGGCCTCGCGGACCTGCAGTGTCCCTATCTACACAACAGGAGCCAGCGCTCTGCACCACAGGTCACCGGAGCACTGCCTGGCCACACGCAGCCCAGCCGTGCTGGTCCTCAGTCATCCTCACAGCAGGGTCCCACGGGGTCCCATGTCTGAGCAGGGCACGGCACCTGTGGTGGCTACACTCCCCGCCACTCCCTGCCGCCTGCCACCAGAGCCACCTCCTCCGTACAAACCCCGGCCCAGAGAGTAAAACCTCTAGGTTTGGGGAGACGGAGCCTGACACTGTGGCCCAGGACCCTCCCTACCTTCAGCACACCCCACATCAGAACGCGGCTGACCTCTCCAGCTTGTCTGTCCCTGAGCCTTGTCTGCAGACTCCTCTCACCCAAGCTGCCCACCCCCGTCCAACCCACCCGGCCAGAGCAGCTCCTGCCCCTGCTACACAACACAGGCCAACAGTGCCCCTCACCCCGTACCCACAGTCCATGGGCTGGCCGCCGTACAGGCTGCAGACAGGCTGGGGACAGCAGCAGGCCCCTGGGTGTTCCAAGTGCATCCTCCCACTCAACCAGGCCCTGATCTCCCTGAGGGCAGGGCCACGCCGCGGGTTCCTCACTCTCCACATGAGAGGTGGCCCAGACCTGGGCGAGGACAGGTGTGCACAAAGCCTCGACCTGGCCAGAGCCTCGGACAAAGGCCACGAGAGCCCTTGGCACCAAGAGGCGGTGGCACCTACCCTGCATCCCAGCTGCTGCCAAGTGGCTGGGGATGGGGGTCAGAGGTCAGCTTGTCCACACAAAGGGCCCAGGATGGGCATCCTCGTGAGTGGGACTTATCTGGAGCTGGGTACCTGCAGGAGAAGAGGGGTGTGGGGCAGGAAGAGGGCAAGGGTGGCCCAGCACGGTGGGACTTGTCCCAGCTGGAGGCGGGGCTGGACGGGGGCCCACCCATGCTGGTCATTTGTATCCCAAGGCTAAGTCAGGCGGGGAGTTCTGGACTCCGGACAGCGCTAACGGGGACAGAGACCTGCCCAAGGGAGGACGCTGGCAGTAGGAATGGCCTTGCCCGGGGACGGGAGGGCTCCCCTGAAGGAGCCAAGGCAGGCCAGTGGCAAAGGCCATGCCCGGAGCCTCTGGTGCCAAGGTCACTGGACATCTGGAGGAACCCTCCACGGGGAGAGGCCACAGGCGAAGCTGGACGGGAAGGTGGGTACAATCAGGAAAAGCCCTGGGGGGAGACAGCAAGGAACCAGGACCGGAACGCTCGAGAGAAAGAGGCTGCACCCCCAAACGAGAAGATGCAGAGAGCAGGTCGGAGAGAGAAGCCCCCAGGACCCACGAGAGAGTGGCTGGAGTTCAGCCCTGGTGAGCAAGCTGCAGGAGGAGTTCTAGATCTTTCAGAAACCAAAACGAAAGGAAGGGGTGGAAGATGCCAAGGAAGTTTGAGAACCACCCAGGAGGCCCGCGCAGGGGTCTCAGAGAGCAAAGGCACAAAAGGACCAGAGACACCAACTAGGACTCAGGGGTCCACAGACACCGGCACGAGCAGGGGAGAGAGCCCCAGCAAGACACGCAGCACGAGGTTGTGGGCCGCCCGAGGCCAGGAAAGCAGGCGGCGGGTGCTGGACTGAGCAGCGAGTGGCAGAGGACAGCCGACCCCAACCCAGCGGTGCCCCGCGGAAAGCCGCCCCACGCGGGCTCTGAGCAGAAGTGACTTCCAGTCCCAATGCTACGCCAATCCATCAACCAAGTCACCAAGTCACGCCAATTCACCTTCCATAGTCCTTTCTCCACCAACATGAGGGGCGGAAAGCGAGAGAAAGGGGAGACGTGAGACCAGCACCGCCCAGGCCAGGGGCTTCCGGGAGAGCCACGGGGAGGGCGGCCAACCATAACGGCACATCCGTGCGGGGGGGTTCCAGGCGGGGATCTGGAGGGTGGTCTCTGGGGAGCTGCACTGAGAGGAAGAATGGGAAAACGCAGCTGTCGGCGACATTTCTAGACGGGACAGCGCAGGCGAGGCCGGCCCGGGTGCTGGCCGTGATGGCGCAGTGTGACCGCCAACACAGCGGATCTCATCTCTGATTTTGTGGTCTAACAATACTGAGAAGGCCAAGGAAGAGGGTTCTCAGCAGCTGAGAGTGTCCCCCTGCCTCAGCAGAAGTCACAGGGGACAAGCCACCCACTCCACGCACGCGGCAGAGGCACCCACGTCTGACGGGCTGAAACTCTGGTCCTGGGGAGGGGAGCTGCAGGAGTCCCAGGTCGCCTGCCTTCGAGCACCACCCTGTTTTCAACTCGCCTTTCACCGTAAACTCTGGGCACGTGGCCCCGTTAAGGGCTGAAGGTCTCAGTGGACAGGGGCGAAGGACACTTTCACCAGAGCATCCCCAATGACACTGTTCTCCTCAGCCGCGGAAACCAAGTGTCAGGGTCTGCACCTGGCCGGGGACTGGGGACCTGAGCCTGGCTGGCACTGTGAGGGCCTGCACACCTGGAGGCCGCTGGGCCTGGGACCAGCACCCCGTGTCTAGAAGGCCAGGGGAGAAAGCCAGAAAGAGCAGGCCAAGAGAGCAGGCCCGGGTCCCAGAGGAACCGCAGTGGGAGCCACCGCCGCAGGGCCAGAGGAGGCGGGGAGGGGCCAGGGGAGGGTGGCCACTCCAGGAGCCACAGCCTGGTGTCCAGCTATCACCACCACAGGGCCAGCGGGCATCACAGGCAAGACCAGACCCCAGTGCTCACCCCACCGGGGTGAGCAGCACACGGGACCCCCATGGTCACCTCCATGCCACCTGGCATTGGGAACCAGAGACGTGAGGAGCCACACAGGTGAGGCCTGACCAAGGACCACAGCCTCAGAGGCCCCATCGGCATGAGGGTCGGCCCGTCCCAAGTGCCCCACGTGATCCTGGCAAAGTCTCCATCCTGCCTCCGCTTCTTCCTTTTCAACCAATACTTTCCTAGAGCAGCTTCAGATCCAGGGAAGACGAGCAGGCGACAGGGTCCCCCCGCCACAGGCTCTGCACCCTGCCTCACCATCACCTGGCACAGTGAGGCTCCGGCCAGGGGCCCAGACACTGCCTGGGAACCTCCCAGAACACTGAGGCCCAAGCCGTAGGGAGGTTGAGGCTGCGGGGGGTGCGGGAGGAGGAAGGCCAGCCCTCGAGGGTCCAGCCAGCCAGGCAGGGTCCCGGGCAGCCACTCAGGCCCCTTGTGCCGACTCAGCACCGCAGGGGAGGGGTCCTTGCTGGTCCTGGTGCCCCCAGCCACAACCAGCCCCTGTGGGGAGGTGGGCTGGACGGGGGCCTCCTGAGGGTCCTGTCCTCCTGGGAGCTCGCGGCCACCTGCCGCCTGTTGGCATGAGCACCTCACGGACAAAGTCACTCCGGGGTCAGGACTGAGATGAAAGCAGGTCACTGTGCCACCCGCAAACACCAGCCACGCCCTCCTGGCTAAGAGGAGGGCACTGCTCCTTGACCAGTCACGGCCTGGCCCCGGGCTCCCTCTCTAGAGGCGACGGAGACACCCATCAGAGAACTGCCCCTTCCTGCAGCACGTCTGGGTGAACCCCACTGGCCCAAGGCCCTGGCCCTTCCACACACCAGGGAGTGCTGGGTGGTTCCACGGAAGTGCCCACTCTGGAGGCTGTGGGCAGTGTCAGGGGAAGCCTGGGCAGGCGCTGACCATCCTGGGGCAGGAGGCACTGAAGGGCTGCAGAGGCCCGGGGCCAGCAGGCTGGCCTCCGACTCACACAAGACCAGCCACTGCAGCTGTTCCTGAGACATGCCGACGGGGCCACCTGGACCCCCTTCTGCAGGACTAGGGTGACCATCTCCCCCCAGCACCGAGTGGACGGGACTCCGGGCCAAACTGAGGCCTGGAGCTGCAGTCCCACCCAGTGTCCACTGTCCAGGCGGGAGAAGGCCCTGCTGAGTCAGTTCCAGGTCCCAGAGCCGGGGACCCAGCTTCCACAGAGGGCCCCTC